CTTCTCTTCTTTTCACAGCTATTTGTAAGTCCTCCTCAGACAGTCATTTTTCTTTTTTGCATTTCTTTTTCTTGGGGATGGTCTTGATCCCTGTTTCCTGTACAATGCCATGAATCTCCATCCATAGTTCTTCAGGCACTCTATCAGATCTAGTCCCTTGAATCTATTTGTCACTTCCACTGTATAATCATAAGGGATTTGATTTAGATCAAACCTGAATGGTCTAGGGATTTTCCCTGCGTTCTTCAATTTAAGTCTGAATCTGGCAATAAGGAGTTCATGATCTGAGCCAGTCAGCTCCCAGTATTGTTTTTGCTGACTGTATAGAGCTTCTCCATCTTTGGCTATAAATAATATAATCAATCTGATTTTGGTATTGACCATCTGGTGACGTCCACGTGTAAAGCCTTCTCTTGTGTTGTTGGAAGAGGGCATTTGCTATGACCTGTGCATTCTCTTGGCAAAACTCTATTAGCCTTTGCCCTGCTTCATTCTGTACTCCAAGGCCAAATTTGCCTGTTACTCCAGGTGTTTCTTGACTTCCTACTTTTGCATTCCAGTCCCCCAGATTGAAAAGGACATCTTTTTTGGATGCTAGTTCTAGAAGGTCTTGTAGGTCTTCATAAAACTGTTCAACTTCAGTTTCTTAAGCATTACTGGTCAGGGCATAGACTTGGATTATTGTGATGTTGAAGATAAACACACAAAATAGAGAAAGGAACCCAACCATATCACTAAAGAAAATCATCAAATCACAGGAAAAGAGACTAAAAGAAGAAAATTAAAAGGGGGAACTATAAGTACATCCAGAAAATAATGAACAAAATGCCAAAGTGCTGTAATCAAAGGATACAGGTGCTTAAATGAGTAAAAATAACAAGATCCATCCATATACTGCTTAGAAGATATTTACTTCAATGCTAAAGACAGGCACAGACAGAAGTGAGAGGTGGAAAAGGTGTTCCATGCAAACGCAAACAAAAAGAGCAATACTCACATCAGACAATATAGATTTGACAAAATAAAATATCACATAATGCTAAAAGTGTCAATCCAAAAAGAATTATTAAACAAATATTAACCTAACATATGTATGCCTAAATACATAAGGAAAATATTAAAAAACATAAAGGGAGAATTGACAGTAATACAACAACTGCAGGGGACTACTAATACGCTCCCCACAGCAATGGACATACCACCTGGTCAGAAAATCAGTAGGCAATAATTGGCCTTAAGTGACACATTAGACTAAAAGTATTTAATAGGTATACATAGAACATTCCATCCCCAAACAGCAGAATACATATTCTTTTCAAGGTCACATGGAATACTCCCCAGGATATATCATATGCTAGGCCACAAAATAAGTCTCAGTAAATTAAAGAAAACTGAAATCATATCAAGCATCTTCTCTGACCACAAAGATATAAAACGAGAAAACAATTACAGGAAAAAAAAAAAAAACCTTGAAAAAACACAAATACATGGAGACTGTATATGCTACTAACAACAAAAAACAAAAAGGTCAATAGAGAAATCTAAAAATTTCTTGAGACTAATCAGAACAAAGACTCAATTTTACAAAATCTATAGGATGTGGCAAAAGCAGTACTGAGAGGGATTAGGACTATAGTGAGACAGGATAGCGTAACACGCCTATCTCAGGAAATAAGGGAAATCTCAAGCAATCTAACATGACACTCAAAAGAACTAGAAAAAGAAGAAAAAACAAAGTTTAAAGTTAATAGAAGGAAGGAAATAATAAAGATCAGAGTAGAAATAAATGAGGTAGAGAACAAAAAGTAAAGATCAATGAAACTAGGAGCTGGGTTTTTTAAAATCTATATAAAATTGATAAACCCTTATCCAGACTCATAAAAAAAGGAGATGGTCCAAATAAATAAAATTGGAAATGAAGAAAGTACAACTGATATCATAGA